GCCGGGGTCCGGCCTCCCCCGCTGCCCGCCCAGGCCTGGGGCCAGCCCGGGTCCCCGGTGCCTTTGGGGTGAGGCTGGTGGGAGGATGCTGTAATGGCCCACGGGGGATTTCCCATGTTTCCCGTTGCCATCTGTCCCCCACCGTGCCCGGTTTCCCGGGAGGTTCCCAGAACTCGATCCCCAGCAGCCAAAGCGCTGAGTGTTGTAGAAAAGGGATTTTTCCCGGGCCGAGGGGAAAGCAGTGGGATCCCACACGAGCCCTGGGGTTGGCGTCCTCACCATCCAGCAAAACGACTCAGAAAGGGGCTGAACTGCCCGACATTGCCCCACTGCTTGGCAGCAGCCGCCTGACACTCCCGTGTCTTCCCCGTCAGGACGCGGCTGGCTCCCGTCCAGGTGGGACCCTGCCAGCGCTGATGGATGCCCGAGGTGAGCCCTGGGAACGCCGTAACCCCTACCTGCAGTGGCCTCCCTGCTGCGGCCACCGGGCCCTGCCAGAGCAGGTTGTCTTATCTCTTATTTTCCAGCAGAAATGGCCTTGGAGTTCCCTGCCTGTCGCTTGTGGTTTAGGGCTGGCTGCAGGTGCTGGCGCTCACACACCGCTCGCTTTGGGAGCGGGGAGGGATGGGGAGAGTTGAGGTCAGAGCTGCCAGTGGATTTCCTTTGATGGGGGAATGTCCCTGGGGAGAGGACAGAGCGATAGATCAGCGTTGGGATGAGGGAGAGAAGCTGCTGTGGGTGACAGCTCAGCTCGGCACAGTTCAATCCTGGCTCTGAAATGTGTGTTCCCTTCCCAGGTGCTGCTGTGCCACCCTGCTCCTGGCTAACCAGCACCAGTTCTTCAGTGGCAAGCTTTATGTCCTTCTCCAGTAGCTAAAGCTGCCAGTTGAAGAACTGTTGAATGTAGCCACTCTCTTCTCATCACTGGGACATTGGATGCCAGCCAGAGCCCTGAGCGACCAGGATGAGCCACTCTGCAGTGTCCTGTGGTTGGAAGGCTGAGGATGAGTTCAACCAGGATGAAGAAAGTCTCCTCGAAGCCTCCAGACAGAGCCTTGGCTGGAGGATTGCCAATCAGCCATACCAGCAGGGTTGTCAAACTGTGTCCCTCCCTCAGTGGGGTGGCACTGAGCTGGGAGGTGACTAGAGGAGACTGAGAGAAGCATTAAACGTTGTTTTGCTCAACTGTTCAGTTTTAGGAAGTTTCTTGCCTGTGGGTTGCCTAGATCAGGTGGGAAAACGGTGGGGACTGCGGACCCTAAGGGGGCCAGAGCACCAGAGCTGTGTCCCCAACTGAAGCCACTCTGGGGTCTGATCCTTCAGGTGCCTTGGGTTTGTCCTGAGCCAAAGGCTGGGCGTAGCCCACAGGTCTGACCTGCTGCTGAGCTCAGGAGCTGGATTAATCCTGCAACATGGCAGGCAGTGGGATGGAGCCTGGGGAGAGGGCTGGCTCCACACCCACGCTGCCCT